CTGAAACAATGTGAACATGCGTGGGTAATTGAGTGCGAAATACGTGCGAATTACATGTTGCGTATTGTGTACTACGCATAACACGATGCGCTTTGTTTGGAGCCTACTACCGTGTCATACTATAACCATATTAAGTCTAGAATGCAAGACGAATTTGCGCACCGGGTACGTATTATGCGTAACATTCTTGATTTTACTACTTAGACCTCCTGTTGTTTTTGCGTCGCTTGCGTCGCATTCCTCAATTAAAATGTAACAAATTTGCGTGCTCCTTCAAGACACTTAAAGCATGCAGCACAAAATTAGAATATTTCCGTGTTAACGACACGACGCATGTTACTTCAATCCACGAATAGTTTCGCCGCTTCCTTGATGCCACCACCGACATTTCAATATCCTCGTCGTGTCGTGTCACTCGAGCGGCATCACGAATTAGCCAATGTGTGCAAGTTATTGTTTTTGCGTTGAACCATTTACTATGACGTTTGACTCACCGCAGTGTCCGCCCTTTCTGCCAGCATGAGGGGCAGACGTTGCCATATAGTCTCGGAAGCGTCGTAAAGCGTAAAGCCCCCGTGGCGTTCAAGCATTCACCGTGAGGTTAGCGATTACAAAATGATACTTTTGCGGGCTTCATTTCACGTAGATTATTGGGTATTGTGTTGCATAGTGTCTTTCTTTAGTACCAAATTGTGAGTCCCTACAAAATCTTGAAATATTTCTACTTGAAAGAACTGATAGGGTATTGGGAGCCAGGTTCCACATTGTAAAGGTCGAACAAAATATAGCGCTGACCCAGCCAAGTGTTGGGAGACAGGGAAACATTAGAGGGCCCAACATTGGGGGGGGGGGGGCAGCTCAACACTGGGGGCATGACCCCCCCTCCCGTATAGATACAAAGTTCCACCAATGCCGGTGGCTCCAGACTGGGCGACAACACATGAGTCGCCTTCCATACGTCACCAATGCCTGTAAGCCACCACTATAGGCGGCGCCACTATTAGGCGCGGCGTCATTGCGAACGCGTCCGCCGTGCGGCGTCGTCAAATGGCACCGCACTCGGCACAGTTAATGCTCTCCTTACGCATCTTAGGATGATGACCTGCAAGCATTTGTCAATGTGGAATTTATTTCTTTGCATTGCCAGAAACAGTTTATTATTTAGAGCTTAGAGCTTAGAGCTTCCCTTTCCTTTTTTGCCTCGGCGCGCACTCACGATGGGCAAGCGAGCCGCCACTCCACCGTGAAGGTGAATACATACCTGCACGAAGTGATTTACTCAGTTTTAGTGCCCCGCGCACAACAGTGGTGGTGACTCCAAGCGTTCACGCCATTCTGACTAGTGCCGCGAGTGTTTTGACCGCCGGACAGTGCCTGCCGCGACCCGTGACAGTTACTGCGGTGTCGAACTCAGTAACCATCAAGTGATCAAGATAAGCCCAGAACGGACAGCTCCCGCACCCGGTGGTTCCGAGGGTTGCAGCCACCAACTGGAGTTGGTCTCACAGCCGCCGGGGAACCTCAGTGTTCGGCAGCCCGGCAGGTGATCGCGCCCCGCATGCCGCCGTTCTCCGACGAGGACGCGGAGCTCTGGCCGGCTCAGGTGGAGTGTGCCCTCGGCAGCGCAGGCATGGTGGACGATCTGGCCGGTTACCAGATGCTGGTGTCATCGCTGACCATGAATATGGCGGTCCAAGACCGTGACGTCATAACAAGCCCAGCATCGATATACGCGCTGCGGACTTCCGCACTGCGTCAGCGCTCGGCGCACTCCAGGACGTCCCGCCTGGAGGCGCTCCTGCGAAATAAGCACCTGGGAGACCCGCGGCCATGGCGCCTCCTTGATCAGAATTTTTGTAATTTACGGCTCGGCACCTACCATGCCTTTAGTTTTGGAGAAACGGGCCTGCTCTTTGGGGGGACATGTCCTTGCTCCTGCCCGCAGATGGCGGACTTCCCCTCCCTGCTGCGCCGCACCTGATGGTGGCCAGCAAACGCAATTTTGGCCACATTCTCACTTTTCGCCTTGCGCGCGTTCCACATCAACTCACAGTGTGGCAGAGATGAACGTTAAAGGGAGTGTTCCGCATTTGTATGGGATTCTGTGCTGAAATAGCCGATTGAAGATCATTCGGCGTAGTTCACAGCGCTGTCCTTGAGACCAAAATCCCTCTAGCCCCTGAGCGACACGTCCGCGAAGATATGCGGACTATTTCGCACCGACTATTTGGAGATCATTCGGGCATGCGTCACGCCATAGCAACGTCCATCAAACCCTGCCACCCCACAGGCCACGCGGCGTTCAAGGCCAGGAAAGGCATTTTCGTCCAGCCATTCAGATCTGGAGGTTGTGAGCGCGATTTGCAAATAAAGTCTGTGTCGATTGGCTTTCAATGTTGAGCAAGCCGTGCAAGTTTCAATCACGAAGTCCGTCTGTTGCTAAATGATTTAAGACATGTGTCTACATCATTCAGAAGCGCTCTGCCTTAGGTCGACCCCGATAGGCTTACCCCGACCCTTACCTTGACATGCCGTGGTTGCCTTAGAGTGCCGTGATTCAGCCTGATGCAGATGGGACTAACCGAAGGCGTCATCCTGATGCTTTATATTATCGTGCCTGATGCAGATGGGACTAACCAAAGGTGTCATAAGGATGCTTTACATTCTCGTGCATCCTTGACCCCAGGGCCGTGGGAATAGCGCGTGGGATCAGATTTAAAAACAACGTGTTCTGTGTACGGGCTAAACGGTACAGCTGCATTTTAAGCGGCAGGAGGGACTTCTGACCAACGTAAACGGCACTGAGCGGCTATCTAATCCCGAGTGTACAAAGGATCGTGAGGATACAAATTTACGTCTCTGGCAACCAAACGACAGCAGACGTGACAGCAGCCATCAGCAGGCTTTCAGTAGGGAAGCAAGCATATTTCAGGCAGGGTTTAGTCCCAACGTTTCTAGTAGATGTATGTCTGGTACCACACCAGATTTGTAACTTCCTCTTCAGTCGGGGAGGCGGTTGAGTCCCTTCCCCAAACTTGGGTTCATGGCCCCCCCCCCCTCCCCTCCCTGCAATTTATAAGAAAGTGGGCCAAATATGGAAAGAAAACACAAAATTGACAAAGGTGGCAAAGTTGGGACAGGCTGCGATATTTTTCACGGCTCGTCCCCCCCCCCCCCCCCCTCCCTCCGCAACTTATTTTGCTAAACTGTGACCCTGGATCAGGGCCCAGGCCGAGCAGTGCTTGTGTGGGCGTTGTGCCCACATCATTTCATCGTGAAACCCCGGGTCAATGACAGAATTTGGTGGCAAAACATTAGCGTATTGCAATGATCTGTAGGGCTCGTCCCGCCCTCAGTCGTCACCTGGCCTTTATTTAGCGCCGCTGCTGCCACCTGCTGACAACCACATCAGCCAATGGCAAACACCAAACGCCTAAAGCGACTCGGGCCTATCCTGCCACGGGTGGATGGATTGGAAGGCAGGCGCCCCAACCAACCGAGCTATCGACGGCCTCGGAGGGGTCACTTGGACACTTGGGGGCCATTTGGACTCGGGATGAACTCGTTGGATCTTCTGGTCACTTTAACCAGACAGGTCCATGAGTGGCCGCCACTGAGTAGCCTCAGTAGACCTCCAGCCAGCCCCCAGACCTCAATAGCCAGAACGGTACTGAAGTGTCCAGAAGGGTTCCCAAGCAAGCAGAGGTGCCCGTGAGTGACCGGAGGGTGGGTGACCGGACCGGAGGGCGACCGGGTGGGAGGGTGGGTGACCGGAGGAGCCCTGGGATATTGCAGCCCCGAAAAGCAGAGGTGCCCGTGGGTGACCGGAGGAGCCCTGGGCTATTGCAGCCCCGAAAAGCAGAGGTGCCCTGGGCTACTGCAGCCCCGGAAAGTCGAAGGGAAACGCCATTGGCCAGGGGGTGTTCAATGGTGAGAAGGCGCCTCAGTGGCCAGAATGGTCCTGAGAAGCAGAACGTGTTCACAAGCGACCAGATGCATTGAGCACAAAGATGGGTCTAAGTGGTCAATGCGATAGCTGAACTGTCCTTTAAAACCCCTCAGTAGTTTCGAAGTTCCCTCAGTGATCCGAGGGGAATTTGAAAGTTAGAGGGACATTACGTGGCTGTAAGTCTTAAGGCAAGCAGTGTCCCTGGTAGCCACAAAGGATGCAATGAATGGTCAAAGGTGAACCTGGGATGGCCGGATAACACCTGCCAGGCAGCCAGATGGTTATGGTTCAGTATACTTCCATTCTGGATAAGAAGCTTGTTGGCCAATCTGACTCGTGCGGTCTTAGCGACGAGTAACCCGAAAACAGCACTCCCACAGTATACAGCGTTCCCCGGACCCCTCGCTTTGAACCCTAGGGTGCTTCATGTTCGGCAGGGGGCAGACTCCCGATCTCCACATTTCCAGCCATGCATCGTCGCCCCGCGTGTCTTTCAACCGAGGCCGCACACCGTCGCTGCTGGGGGGGGGGGGGGGGGGGGGGGTTCACATCGTAATAAAAGTTTAAACACGATGACAACACAGTTACGTTATCTCCGCCACGGTCCTTGTAAAGGAGCATTATTCAAGCACAACAATCTTGGTACTACTCTTTTATTAGCTGTTGCCATCGTGATCAGCAAATAACGAGCATTCCAAAAATATCACATTTGTTTCTTTCCATCATTTTACACCATGGCTGGATCGGCAGTCTGCTAGTTGGTGCAAATCGCTTGTCCTCGATTCAGAGAATATATCAGAATGTGCGTGCGTGCGTGCGTGCGTGCGTGCGTGCGTGCGTGCGTGCGTGCGTGCGTGCGTGCGTGCGTGCGTGCGTGCGTGCGTGGGTGTGTGTGTGTGTGTGTGTGTGTGTGTGTGTGTGTGTGTGTGTGTGTGTGCGCGCGCGCAGTCAGGCTCAACACGGTTCGCGAGTGGGCTTATCCGAAAGTTCAATTGTGTGCTTGCACATTAACGGAAGTGTTGTGGGCGAAAACTCATTCAGGTTGAAAATACATGCCCGAAATGAAATGTGCATTGTAGTTTTTGTCAATTCGGTGTATGCGCTTACTTGCATGGGTTGACAAACTTAAAATGGAGTGTTGATTTTAGGCTGTTGTAGCGGTCGGCACAATCTTATGCAGACGAAATAACTCCGTGCTACTTACAGCGTCAAATGTATTCTCGAGCTGAGCAGCCATTACAACTGCAGAAATCGGGGTGCGGCTGGTCCACTGTCGCGATGAGCTATGCCTGGCAGCGACTGGAAACCTCTGGAAAACGACGCCTCGCCAAATCTTCCACTGTTACGCCGTCACCCTCTCAGTGGTGGCTATGTGCCCCACCCACTCCTCCCGCGCCACTAGCTCCTTCCGCCGGGTCGACCGTTGCTTCTCCAGCGCCGACAGGGCAGCGTGTCGCGCCTCCGCCACCGTCGCTCGCGCTCCTCCACCCGCCGGCGAAGAAGGCGTGCTTGTTGGCCATGTGGCGGTTGCGGTTGCTAGTGGTGCTGCACGTCTGACCGCAGATGTGGCAGACTGTGTTGCCGCGGTGCAGGCTGATGTGGTTATGTAATGACGCCAGGCTTGAATACTTCTGAAGGCAGACCGGGCACTGGAACGTGCCACGGGCGGGCGGCGCGCCTGGAACAGAGCACGCAGCCGTGAGATCAGATCCTGGGGAGCTAGTTCGGCGCCCGCTGCAGGCAAGGACCACTGTGGTGCACCCATAACAGAGGGCAGAAGGACTACCTGCATGCAAAGTCATCTAAGACTATATTATTTCGCCCATGCATTTTTTCCTTCTGACCGCCGATGAGGCACGGGAACCCTAGATTTGGTGTCTGCAATAGGCACTTGAAAATACTGCATAGGATGAACGAGCCTTCGCGGTTCAAATACATGTTGACTTGAGCAAACCCGGAACAGCCATAACTGAAGGTCCCTGGCGTTCGAGGGACAGATGGCTCCTGGGATCCTAGGACCAAGGGTCGCTGCGGGCCTAACCGTCCTAGGGACAAAGTGTGGGATACTAAGGACGTGCCATTGGGCTTTACGACGCACCCAGCTTCTAAGACCTGACGGTACTAGGGACGATGGCGTGACATTGGGGCTTTTGGGCCCAGGCCCGAAGTGACCCTCAGGACCCTCGGACCCGACGGTACTACGAACGCAGTGGGAGACACTAAGGGACCCCGTATGATGGACACACCGATGTCCACCATGCGGTATCCACTCAACACCACTCCCTACGCAAACGCAACATCAGTACAATGTAGGTGGCGATGGTACTTGGAGCCGGCCGCAGCCGAGCACTGGAGGACACCGTGAACCGTTCACTCGGTGGGACAGGACGCCTGCCGGGTTCAATTGCGAGGCGATTCGGTGCAAGTTGCACTGCCTGGCCGCCAACATGAGGATGGCCCGGGGCAGCCAGGTAGTGGCCTTCGATTGTGTTTATTAGAGCCGCGATGTTGTCCACTAACACTGTGGTTTGTGCCGACATGGTGGCTGATTGCGTGCCGGGGCGGCTGCAGCAGCCTGCTATGTCGCGATCAGTTCGGCCAGGTGCACTGGCGTGGTGACGGACAGCGGCACCGATAACCCCCCGAGGGATCAGCAAATCCTCGCTGGGGACGGGACGGAACGTCTGCCGCGATATACTCTGAACAGCCGCACAGCAGCAGCTACGCCCAACAACACCTCGCAACACCAACAACATGCCCACAGGTGTTATATGTCCAGCCTTACAGCGCCCCACGCGCGCCTACGCGGAAGGTGAGCGGAATTAAGGTCCCTTCAACTTATTTGCCCCACGCGGTGTGAAAATCAGACAAGCCACAGAACGTTTGCACGTTGATGCGAAATGTGTCCCGAACTTGTTGAAGACGCAATCCCCGCGAAATGGCATGTAGCGAAGTGTCATGTAGCGCGCTAAACAGAGCAGACCAACCACTGCATTGCAGGCTAGTCTGCCGGCTCTCTGGGCGCTGAGCATCCGTCGAAGATACGACAGCTACGCGTCACCAAAAGACAGCCTGAACTGCGCAGCATACTTAAGATGTGGATACCTAACGGTCTCAGACAGGTGGGGGCTTTGCACACCGGTACACCCACGCACCACGCGGTGCAGCAGCGTGATATGCCGCAAACAGTTCATAAAGAGCGCCGCGCGATGCAAGTACGACTGCGCGACTTCGCACTGAGCACGGCTCCCAAGCCAAAAGATCACGCCCCCGCGGCCAGTTGACTGCGAGCGCAACAAACACAGTTCCCCCGACAAATCTGACCAATAACATTAGGTAATGGGCAAAGTCTTGTATTCACCTCTGGCAGGAAGGAGGACCTGCTCGAGGTCGGAGGGAGCCGGGTGGTACGGCACAGCGTCTAGCTGTCCATCCTCTCGCACCTCCACCTTCTCCAGCTTCACTTGCGCCGCGTCGGCCACTGGCTCGCCACCGCCAGAGTCGGCTCGCTCCGGCGGCGATGGCCGTGGCGGCGGCGTGGTGACGCGGCGCCGCTTGGCCGGCGCGGGCCGCGGAGAGTGGGGCGTGGCCGGCGGCGGCCGGTACCGCGGCCCGTCGGGCTGCGCCGCCAACCTGGCTGAAGCGGCGCCGCTCGAGGTCGTCTCCGACCGCACCGGCTCGGCGCTGGACTTCTCGCAGCATTCCTGGAAAATCGCGGCACACCTGGACATGAGACTAGAAGTCACCCGGAGCAGCACGGTACAGATTCATATTCTGTCCATGCTGGCATGGTGGTGATGTCATCAGTAGCTTCGTTTGACACTGTTGCTGACTTTTGGCTTCCTCGGGACCTTATCATAACGTCCAAAGGACACGATGCCCAAAATGAGAAATGCCTCCAAAACTAGTCCAAAGTGAAGGTGTTCGTCATGACAGTACAGAATTCCCAATGTATACAATGTCCCAGAAGCACAATGCCCGTGCGCTTAATGTCCAGGGAGCAGCATGTCCAAAATAGTTCCTAAGGCAACCACCAGGATGGGCGTCGTTGCCCTTATTGGCAGGCAGTGGCGCTGCTGCCCGCGTCGGCCCCGCGCATACAGCCGAGACCTTAACGACGACTTGACGCCTGCAGCCGGTTGGTTGCATAGGAACGGATTCATTTAACGACGACTTGACGCCTGCAGCCGGTTGGTTGCATAGGAACGGATTCATTTAACGACGGCTTGACGCCTGCAGCCGGTTGGTTGCATAGGAACGGATTCATTTAACGACGACTTGACGCCTGCAGCCGGTTGGTTGCATAGGAACGGATTCATTTAACGACGGCTTGACGCCTGCAGCCGGTTGGTTGCATAGGAACGGATTCATTTAACGACGACTTGACGCCTGCAGCCGGTTGGTTGCATAGGAACGGATTCATTTCTCACGACGGGATCAGACGGCGGGAACAAGGCTGCCAATCGCTGTAGCTCGCACTGTAATGAAACAATCTGGCAATCAGCATGCGTTGCTGAAATGTAGCTTTCAAAATCAGTTGGTTCCCAGTCTGTGGTAACCTCTCAGTGATTCCCAAGTGTCAAGTGTCACTGCCATTAGTTTGGCATTTATTCACATCGTTATTTCCATTTCGTCCTGCTTTTTAACGACACCCTTGGATATAGGAATCAAGAGTTGGAAATATCTGGGGATAGCAATGGTATCATTCATATTGTTTTCTTTGCTGCTCATATGTCTCAGAAGTTTGCATGATTATCCTATGCTCAAGCTGTTGGACTCAGTGCAAGCTATGGAGCTGAGCTGCACTTTGGGCACTCAGCAAAAATTGTGAGCACATTCAGAATTTGCCTTAAGTCAGCAATAATGCCCATTTTTGAGACCTGCCAATCCTTTTCGCCATAAGACTAGATATTCAAAGTGGTACCGTTACCAAATATTAGACGAAGTTTATTTTGTTCTACAGCAACATGTCTGGACAACAAATTGGCAAGGTTCCAGTGACATCACCAAACACCACTTTCTCTCATGTGCTGAGAATGTTTAAGCAGAAACAAGGACGACTTCTCTCAAACTGCACTGTTCAGGTGCGGGCGCAAGCGCGCTAACTTTTTGACGTTGTCATTGTCATAATTTCTACAGAATTATTCGCTTCTCGTTACATGTCACATTCCATTTGCCTTCACAGTTGTTCAATGGTTGCAATCCTGTTCAGCACGTACTTGAGACTGCACCCTCCTGCGCTGCAGTACCGTGCCCTGCTTTGCCCTGTGATGTCCTGTCACAATGGCCTACCTTAAAGGGAGTGTTCCACATTTATATGGGTTTTGAACTGAAATAGCCATCTTCAAGACCTTTCGGTGCTGTGCTCATCCATGCCCGTCTAGTTTCTGAGTAACATGACCGCGATAATGCTGAGAGTATTTCGGGGAGGGTATTTCAAAGTCGCCTTGGCATTCACGACGCTATAATAACGTCATTCACATCCTGCTATTCTATGAGCCACGCGACGATCAAGGCAAAGGAACATATTATTATCGAGGAGTTCGTATCTGGCGCTCGTGAGCACGATTTCCCGGATAAAAGGGCCGTCAACTGGCTCTCAATCAATGTTGTGCAAGGTACGCTGACGTCATCAAACCATGACGCATTGGTAAGCATATTTACTTAGCAGAAATCGTACTGTCTAGCACAGTCTTTTCCGGGTAAGAAATATACCAATAGTTACGTGCTTCTTTCATCATATCTGGTAATTGCTTCAATACTTCGTGGGTCAGTTTAAAGCAAGTTGTTATAGTTACGCTGGAATTTGCGTGAACCTGGGAGGATTGCGCGTGGGACATGAAGGTTAGCGCATAGGTCATGAAGTGACCTGGCACTGCAAAGGTGCGTCAGCCTTGCTCCACCGTGACCTCAGCTATCCTACCAAGGTGCTTGTCACCCTTACCCCACCCAGACCTGCAGGGCTGGGCTGGGCTGATTTGGGCCTGAGCCTGGGGCTGGGGCCGGGCCGGGCCGGGGCCGGGGCCGGGGCCGGGGCCGGGGCCGGGGCCGGGGCCGGGGCCGGGGCCGGGGCCGGGGCCGGGGCCGGGGCCGGGGCCAGGGCCGGAGACCTGGGTGGGGCCAGGTTCAGGATCAGAATTGGGCCCGGAACGGAGAACAGGGCCCAGCCCTGGGATAACTTCACATAGTAGGCCAGTATTAGTTTGTAACCAATGTCGTTTAGTGAAAGACGACTGCAAACAGGCGTTCCTCCATTGTGTTGCAGGAGCGCCGCTATTGTGCGCCGGCAGCTGCCACCGTCCGGTGTAGAGGTACCGCCGATGGTCGCCGGATGGGTGGCCCCTGGCCAGCAGGGGCCACCCATCTCACTGACCCCGGTGGGATACCCGTCTGCATCACCCCTGGACCCTGGGCAATGAACCCACGGCCTGCCTAACACTGCAGAGGTGACCCTCTGTATCATTCCTGCCCCCCCCCCCCCCCATTATGGTATCTTTCTTCGTTGCCTCACTTCTGACTATTCTGTGCCAACCCCACCGTCTGCCTCACACCCGGCTACTCCTCGATTGTTGCTCCTTCGTGCACTTGATACATTGCTCCCCTGTGGTGATTCCTCCATCTGCGCCTCGCCTCTGTTTGGTGGTGGAACCCTGTTGGTTTCACGCCCGGATTATCGGTGCTGAACCTTCTATTTGTCCCCCCCCCCCCCAGACCATCGAATCCCCCCTCCCCGTCACCCATCCATCTCTGTCGGCTACATCCTTGGCTCTTCAGTAGTGATGCTGTGTTTGATGGGGCATTAGTTATAGACCCACACTTTGCCTCTTCGATGTTTTATGGGATGTCAGTCATACATCCACACTTCTGGCCCCTCTGTGGCGTTCTCTTTGTGCACCTCACCCTGTGATGCTTTTGTTTGGCCCGTCTGTTTTCCACCACTGGCTCCTCGGTCCTGGTCCATTTGTCTGCATCCCCCCTACCTCCCAGATGTGACCATTCTGTCCCCTCAGTGGTTGGTTATCGCTCTTTCCACTGCTTTATTCTTATATTTACAGCGGTGACACATCTGTCCTCGCCCTGGCTCCTCGATGGGAAGCTCCCCTCCCCTCCCATCCCATCCCATCCCATCCCATCCCATCCCATCCCATCCCATCCCATCCCATCCCATCCCATCCATCCCATCCCATCCCATCCCATCTCCATCCCTCTCCTCCCCTCTCCTCTCCTCTCCTCTCCTCTCCTCTCCTCTCCTCTCCTCTCCTCTCCTCTCCTCCTCTCCTCTCCTCTCCTCTCCTCTCCTCTCCTCTCCTCTCCTCTCCTCTCCTCTCCTCTCCTCTCCTCTCCTCTCCTCTCCTCTCCTACCCCCCCTCCCCAGGTCCTGTTGACCTACTCTGTGCGTAACCCCTGCGTCTTCGGTTGTGTCATTTACATCGCCGCTGGTTCCTCATCGGTGTGGCCGTTCGGATATCTGCCCCATCACCGTTTTTTCAGTTTTCAGTTTATCTGCCCCATCACATCACAGTTTTGGGCTCCAGTAGTGTTTGATAACTGGGTTTATCCGGCAAAAATCGACTGGCAGAAATGGTTTCAACTGGCTGCTGCCAGTCCTGTCAGATCCAATCCTGCCAGTCACGTCCCGCTCATTGTGCATTCTGGATGTTGTGTAATCTGAACATTACGCACATTGGACATTGTGTACTTAAGACATTATGTTCTTTGGATATCGTGTACTTTGGATATTGCGGATATGGTGCGCTTTGGACATTGCGTACTATGGATACTGCGCACTTTGGATATAGTCGACACTTCGTGGACTTTGTGCGTGTGTGTGTGTGTGTGTGCGTCACAATTTGGACACATTATGAACACCCTCCCTCTGCACGATTTTGGCCGAACTTCTCATTTTAGACAGTGTACTTCGGACACTGAGTTCTCTGATTATGCTGTACCTTGGACATTATGAACACCTCCACTTTCCTGACTGCAATCATGAGTCACAGTCCCACCTCCCGCTTTGCCATTGCCAGGTCAATTCATACGTCGGCGTCCGTAATACTGCCTGAGGATCGCCCTCCAGCATCCCCACCTGGCTTGAGCGCCTCGAGTCCCCTCTTCCCCCCCCCCCTCTCCCCACACTCCTGAGCTCCGACCTGTTTATCGCTTGTCGCCGCTGAGACCTCGGATCTGCAGCAGCTCCGCCGTCTGGATGAAGCTGGCTAGCTGAGCCTGCGAGACGTTCACGTTGCCGCGGTACACAAACTCGATGATGGCCGCCATGTCCGTGCAGCGCGTGTCACGCAGGAAGAACACCGGGTGCTGGCATGGGTTCTCCTGCAAAAGCAGCACCACACCGCGGCGAGGGTAAAATACGGTGTGACAAATTACCATTAGCCTGGGTGCAATTTCACCAATGAAAGACGCCAATCACGATAAGTTATCTTTGAATCAGCTACGAAATACGAATCTACTAACTTCGGAGTTTACGCATGTTGCAGCGCGAAGCGCATATAAGCCAGTTTCATGAAGGCTCGTATGATATGTAAGTTACGTTCATATATGTTAAAGAAATGCTTGCGGATGGCACTCTTAACGATAGCTGTTGATCCGGAGAAAGCAGGTATTCTCGAGAAATATGAAATCATGAATCGTCTCACAGCGTAGGATAAATATGAACTCATGGCATTGTCTCACAGTGCTGTCAATGGCCTATTATTGCGATTTGAGAATGAGCGACCTAAATGTTTTATTCACCTCATATGAATTTAGTTTAATTAAGAGAGCTTATATATTGAATCAAATAATAAAGGAAGTTGTGGAGCCACAAATTCATGGATTATAATTAGCATTAGGAACTTCGCAAGATCCGTTAGTTCCGAAATTTTAACCACTTAAAGACTGGCTCTGACCTGTGTGGAGGGTACCCATTGGCTACCCAAACGCACAAGCCCAGATGGCAAAAAAAAATGTTTCAGTGCTGGCCCCCTCGTGCTTGGTTTCTTTACGCATTTGAAAACATAGAACCTAGGCAGCATTCACGTAAGTCGGCAAGAAATCGTACATCATAGAAAACTTGTCTCGGACAATAGCAATATACGAAACATAGTAAAAACCCGTTTAACCGAATATGGTAAAGCCAATAATAAGCGACGCCCACTCGCATTAACGACGGAATACGCAAGATAAATGCCGCGTCGCGACAATTGTCAGTACAAATTGGCCTGCTGACATACGCGCGGAGCTTATCGCAATAACCCCTGAAAGGCTTTATGATAGCCTTTAAGTCAAACTGCAGGTGTTCATGCATTATGCATGCTTCTGCTATCTAGGGCACTGATCGAAACAAATAAGTATTGTATCTGTGCGCCGAACAATGCTTTCAGTTTCTCACATATCTGGATACCAATCGACATCCCGTTCACTGACCCTAAACTGCGCAGGTGCGTTTCAGTGCCAGCGAATGTACTGATCTTGGTAATGGCATCTCGGTTTGGGGCTCCTCGATCGTGTTGCGGGTCTTTTGCCATCCCAGGTGGTTGGATATGGGCATGGACGTAACGGCGCAACCACGACGTAAATGCTACTTGAGTCCACACATCTTATCGTCATTGGAGCTTTACGACGCATCCAGCTGCTGAGGCTGGGTGGTGCCGCCTGCCACCCTGGTAGGGAGGACAGCACCGTGGAGAATCGTACTCGGTTCGTCTGGTTTTCATCTGGCCCTCCAGATATATCGGTTACTTTTCAGTGTGAGGAGCGGCTTCCCCTCCCCCACTTGGGCTACAGCCCCCTCCTATCTTTGAGAGATAAAGAGTAAGTCAAATCTTGGCAATCTTGGCAGAACACAGAAACGCTGCCGTTAGAGATGTTGGCGTATGATGGAAGATTGCGGCATTTTTCTACCGCTCAGCCCCGTTCCTCATCCCAGACCCATAATGCGAAACTTCGCCCCTTCTGCGGACGTTTTCCCTTTGGGAGCTATCTTATGTGGCCAAAACACAACAAATGGTTCAATCTGGCCGAAAGTTGCTGGGGTTAGAATCCCAGCTGCGGGAGGGGAGGAGTCGGGAGAGCTACTCCCGGCAGGGCTATTCAGCGACTAGTGGTCTTCATGCCCATGGACACCAGGTGGATGGAGGCTGATGTGAAAGCCTGAGTAACGCAGAGGCAGGTGAACCTTGCGCTCATGTTCCACCGGTCCACATCCTCCCTAAATATCTACAGTGCGGGTGCCACGCACGCAGACTGCAATCAGCAAGGCGGTGGGAACTTACAAACGGAACGTATGCGCTCCCCCCCCCCCCCCCCCCCCCATCCTCCCCTAGGTCCCGACGAGCTTTCAGGCCGACAATCAAGGCCCCGAGGGAAGGGCACGAATGGCTCCCATCTTTTCATATTCTACACCGATCAAACTGCACCAAATCCTGTATAGTGCACCACATGACGGATTTCAAAGCAAGTACCGGACAAATCCGCTAAATTTTGAAAATATACAAACCAGACTTCGGCAACACTGAACCTAAACAAGCATATTCCTTCAAGAGAATGTAGCACATTTGAAGATATTGAGGCCAGCGGCAGATATAATGGAAAAAGTTCACTTGTAACGATTGGTGTGCTCTTACGGCTAAAAAACTTCTCCAAATAACGGGAATCACTTATCAAAGAACGCACTTCACTTCATCGTTTGGTTACGCCATGGGATGGGTTAGTGACGCCTGGGTTACCTGGCATCAACTGCCAGCCAGATCTAAGGCATACATCGCAATGCGCAATTATTCGCGAGCCATTCTCTTCCTGGCGGCTGCGGTGGCGGTTGAGCATGTGGTACAGATGGGATTTGTTTGAGGATTTGAGTGTCTTGGTACAAGACATGGGCAAACTTTAGATGGATTATTTGGCATACGCTACGCAGTAATTGCCAGTTTGCGTGATATTAGTGATAACAAATCACGATAGGTTGTCGAAACCGTCATGGGGTCAAGATTCTCCTACCTGAGCTTATCGAGGACTATTGTGGATGCAAATACCGCGTTTCGACCCTTGCATGCAGTGCTATATTCCTAACACTTACTTCATGCGACATGCACGGTACTTTTCTTTTAATTCATGCTTTGCAATCAAAAATTCCGTTGGATCCAAAGTCCAGCAAAAAGTGTCACTTATTCCAGGAACTGATTGTCAAATATTATCATTGGTATGGTAAAGGTGGGCATGTGCAAAGCCGCTAGAACGGCTTAGGAAATGCCGCAGCGGCGCAGCAAAACCCGCGTGTTCACGTTCGTCTTCGAAATACAAATTCAGCAGCGAAATCTGACTCCTAGCCAATAACCTTCCGAAGATCGGACTATTTGTGCCCGATCACCACTAACACGAAAGTATGAGCGGCCATACTGTCCTTTGATCATGAGCAGAAAACAGCCTGCGCGATGACCACGTTTGTATAACTTTTTATGACTGTTAGTTGTAGTACGATTGTTGTTAGTTCTATGATGCTTATTTCTATTAATGTCATTTAACAGTATGCCACAAACAGGAAAAGTCGCATTATTTTGGTATAAAATTCCTAGATGACATTGAAATAGTCTGCACATCTTCCCGACTTTGAAGCTCGGAAATCATAATACTTTAGGCCTCAAAAGGATATGGCTGTGAGCTGCACCGAACGCTATTCAAGATGGCTATTTCATTTCAAAACCACATACAAATGTAGGAAACTTCCCTTAATAATCTGACCATGCCCGGGACAACGTCATCCACGTTCATGCATTTTGCAGCGAAAAAAAAGTATTTCACTGACCAAATACGGGACATGACCACTAATGCTAGTTGATATTACGCCACAACCAGGAAAAGTGGTATTATTTTGGTATAAAATCTGGCGCAGCGCATAGCGTCTTTTGCGAATCGCTGCGGACGAAACTGCGATTCCAGGGCGATTGCGATTCTCCATGTGCGTTGTGAGGACGCTGTAGTCAGTAGAATACAAAGTTCGAATTTTTGCTTCAAATTTTGGGGCCACAGGAAGACTGAGTGTTTGCAGGTCTGTGGAGGACTAATGAGTATGGGCCAAGTGCCCGGAATGAGGGTATGGAAGACTCTGATGGCTGCGGCTCGAGTGAATTTCAGCATGACCCCCACCAACTTTCGTGAGACCATCAACGAGATCAACAATGAACTAGCACCAGAAGGCAGCGGGGTCAGGGGTTGACTGGACGCAGGTGCAGTCCGACCTGGAAGACAAAAGTGCAGTTCTGGGCTTAATCGGTTCAGGAGCAGAAGCTGGGTGCACCTATGCAGAATGCATAACAAAAAACAGCCAATCGTGATAAGGCATGCTAGAAGTGCTGAAACCTAGCATGTGCTCGTTAGCTGATGGCACTGTATCTGAGCAGTAAGACAACCGCTTACGTGCTATCGGTGAGCAAGCCTATGTTTAACTCAGTAAGATGTACTTTTCCAGAGTATTCTAATGCATCATTACTGTCTCTGGTACTGGACTGTCCAATGCTCAGCGCATGGGTCAAGGGTCATGGGCCCCACCACGGGTCATAAGTTGAAGGTATGACGATATGTTGCATGCATTTCCTCCCACAGGTTTGTGTAGGAAGAAATGCATACGAAGTATGTTTAACTCCCAAAAGTTCGGGATACCGTCCCCCATCCCCTGCTGACGAAGGACACGTTTATCTTATTGCTGACTGACATGTTAAGGAAAGGAGCCGGAATAGAAAGTTCCTAGAAGTCATATTATCGCAGTTGTGGCATGCTTTTCCGCTAAATAAAGCTGCTTCTACCTTTGATATAGCATCGTTACAAAAACAAATCACTTGTGCCAGATCTTTGGCCAGTCTCCTAAAAGCGCATCCAGTGTGATGGACACCTCATGCTGCTGAGCGGCTGTCCATACATCATGTTACTCACGGAGATGGAGGGTTTTTAGGTACAGCATAAGTACTAGTGCCTATGGCAGGGTAACCATGGCAATCAGTACAGCCCGGAGAAGTGTGGAGGGGAGGGAATTGCCCCAAATGCGTGACGTAATTTTGGATATCGACTGATGTACATCCATGCACATCAGGACGCAGGTCATCATTAGTGGAAGGTACGTTACTTTCATATTAATGCATAATACTTATACCGCATATCCATCCACTGCCACACAGTTTTCAGAATGGAGTGGAACAGTCACATCCTGAAGAAGATTCATAGCTATGAATCAAGCTGCATCCGATGTTAGTGTCGACAGGCCGTATGGTCTGAAGCCAGCTGCCAAGAAAGCTGTTGACTAGCTGTTCCAACAAGTATACTGCTGTGTCCTCAGTTTTTGAGCCAGTGATATCAAACGAACTCTTGTGACTTGCCGATGATGACGAGCCGCACGTCATCGACCAGATGTCTGATGCGGACAGGGGACAGTTTTGGGCGCAGTTCACCTCCCACAAGCTGGGCCGCCTGGCATAAATAATGATGCTGTTCACGCAGACGCCATTTATATGCGCAAATGAAGTGGACGTTCGGTGTTATCACCGCGCTGACTGATCCACGGGACAATTTTTTCCAAGTGCCGTACTCTGTGATAAGCTCGAAAACCTCCGATGACTGCAACATTGCTGCTGTGCCTGAAGAAGGCCGTGCAACGGCAAACGAATTCCCCCTTCGGTCCTTGTGCGGTTGTGGCAGATTGCTGTGAGGTCTTATCCTATGCCGTGCAAGCAGTAGTTCCGCAGGCTCTTCGGCGCTCCTGTCGGTTCCATGCGAATAAGGCGGGGGACTCGCGTATCCGTGTGTGCCAGACCTCGTTCGCACAACTGCCTCGCAGGACATGGCAAATTTGCAGCCGTGCTGAGCTGCTGATGAGCTGCGCTGGTTTGAGGCACTGATGCTGGAGTAGTGGAGGGCTGAGTGGTCATCAGAGAATGGCAGAACGTTTACAGGCACTTTTCCTTAACCCATACGCACCAATTCTGTGTGTTATCGGACGGGCAGAATTTTACCTCACCGAGCACAAATGACAGCTTCGAGGCCTTCGATGGCGTGACCAAGCGCCAACATACCACGCGGGAGCGCCCGTCGGTGGAGCAGTATTTGTTCCTGTCCTTCCCCATGATGCACTACTGGTCACTGGACTGTGGTACCCAAAGGCCATTCATTGCGTCCCTGGTCATTAGTTTAGACCTCCATACCCGGGCGTGTCAGTGGACCAACGGTGTCAAGGCTCTCATATATCAGAGGGATAAATAGCAGCGGATGACATTTGTCAATCGCCTGAACACCGAGGCCGAAACCGATCCCGAGTTTCCATACTGCATCTGGGTCAGCGACGGGCCCACTTCGACCCGAATAGGAATGGGCCACGCAACACTCGAAACTGCCCAGTTTGGGCCTCGAAATTGCGAGGCGACGTGCTGGAGAGTCCGCCGCAGAGCTGAAAGATGACAGCGCGGCGCGCTAGAGCGCGATGAGGCCACACTAGAGCTACAGTGGACTCATCGCGCTCTTTCTTCCAGTGTGCAGGAGCGGCGCATCAGCATGCTGGAGCGCTTCTGGAAACAACGAGATCAACAATCCAGAGCAAAAAGAAGAACATCTAGCTCCAGCATGACGGGCGACTTCCCACACATCAAACATGACCCTGACGTGGCCAGTGGACAATTTTGGCGCCGGCATCATCAGCCGAAAGACTGACAGCCGCTCACTCTCCGGATGTCCCCGGATTTCCTCACTGGATCACCCTCTACATTTGTACATATGTGGGTTCTCGAAATGCAGTGTCTACCGGAAGAGCCATCGGAGCTTCGGTGATCTGAAGAGGCCCATCGGCTAGGTGGTGCACAAAATCACACCTGGCACGTGTGCCAGTTATCTGAGGTGGTAAAGCGCACCGACCTCTGCCCACTTTGAGCACGTGATGCAAGGAGTTCCCAGAGCGGTGGCAATGTGCTTACGATACATGATAAAAAACCCACGGTTAGCTGAACATTTGTCATCAACACGCTTACTGATGTGATTCATGATCATTATGCGTGGGCAGGCGTAATCAAGACATGTTTTTCTTTCCACTCTGTACGTTGAGATGACGAAAGATCCCAATTGCGTTTTGCAGGCATCCCAAAAACCGCAGATGCGCGAAAAATATTTCAATTTTCGAACTACATTAGAGGCCATTTATCTTCAGTTTCGTGTCTGTCTTGCCAGGCTGGTAGCAGCGTCATTTTGGTCAATAAGTTGCCTTCGGGGGGACTGCCTATAACTGGAAAACGTCCCGGTCCCAGAAGAACCATGTGGCTTAGTAGTGCATTATCTACTGTCATGCAATCTTTCAGCGAATTTAAGGAAGAACCAAACATCCATTTGCACATCAATAACGAACTCCCCTGCAGTCACAGACATCCGGCCGAGTAGCATAAAACATCCCCCATGCAATCACCGACGTCAGGCGCGGTCGCACCAAACATCCCCATGCAATCACCGGCGTCAGGCGCAGTCGCACCAAACATCCCCATCCGGTCACCGACGTCAGGAGTCGTACCAAACATCGCTCTCCTCTTCTATCCGTTCGTGTTTAAGAATGATGACAAACCAAACCAAGGCGAGGGTTAGTAGTCACAGGCATAAATTATATTATATTTAAACATTAAAACTATTTACACTAACATGCATGCTGAGCATTGACTTATCTCCATCTACGACGATGGGTTGCTCGCAAATGTACGAGTGAGATGATTGCAAAGCTTGCAATGCAGGCTACAAGGCATCACAAGTTCTGATGACATTTTATTCAGACAGGATTGGAGAAAAAGGAGATGAGACTGGTGCTTAGGGTATGTGGCATCAAGAAAAATTGAGAGGCTTTTTATCATGTTTGAAGTTTTGCGATGATACAAACAGTTTAGCCATTTCGCTCTGTGTCTAGCCAGACACTTTAATAGCTGCTAAGAATACCCACCACACACGTCCTGTAACAAGCATTCATGTTCTTAGTTAAGCACATCAATTTCAACTGATCTCCCTTGTTTCAGCCTTTTTGTCAGACAAGTCTGTAAAAAATTTGCAGGCTGTAAAGTGTTTCAAGCTACTACATCTGCTAAAATGTGTTACAGAATGGCTGCCCCAGTGCAAGATGACTCTTTGGCCAGTTGCCACCTGACCATTCCATATCCTAATAGCATGTTTGGTAAGAGTGCTTACCTTCTCATCCAACCACCCATAACTGGGTGGATCAAAGTCACTTCAGATGCTAGCTTTTTGCCTTTGACAGGTGACTTGTGGCCCATGGCAGCTGTTGTGCTTGACACAACCAGCAAAGCATCAGAGGGCAGGACAGACAATGCCAAGCAATGCAGCATGCTTAACTTTTCCTACCAAATTTTCCTGGTGCATGACTGGGTGGCAGGGACTAGGGCTTACACAACAAGCACTGCTTCCTGCTTTTATTACACTGGTCTGAAGCCAGAATTGATCCATACAAAAGGCATGGATTTAATCTTTTTCAAAGTTTTGGCTTTCCCATGAACCTGATGCCAGTGGGCACAGAAAAGGATCTGTATTATCACAGTAGTGCTTTAATCCAAAGTGCTTACAAGCTTGGGTCTACAATGAACTAATTATGATGAAATATATAAAGCTCTGGCAATCTCCAAGAATATTTGGTACCTTCTTTTCTGCCAATTTTCCTTTATGCTGCAAGAACTCCCTATACTTCTGACAGAAAACATTTAGTATCATCAATCAATGCGACCAAAACAACTTGATACAGAGGGCCAAACAATAATTGCATGGATTGTTGACATTGATCTGTTGCATTGGATTCACAACTGAAGGTTGTTATAAACCAAGGCATGTCTCAAGGGAAGGCAAACATGGGTGCAACCACTGGCAGCTGGGGAGAACATATCCACTTCCCAGCTTTTCATGTATTTGTACAATGAAACTTGTCCAAAGGACAACTAGTTTTCATGTTTACTCAAACAGAATAGTATTTTCAGGTCATGCTGCCCATTCCTCAAGTTCCCAAATGAATGATCTGTTTCCTGATTTGTTCACCCAGTCTCACAAACATCATTACACCTTAAGTGTACATATGTCCTGCCCCTGTGAGTCCCTTAGCATTAAGCAGGACTATGAAATTAAAACCAGGGGCCCCCAAGGTATGGCTTCTTATCACCAACATTGAGAGTAAACCAAGTGCCCAGTCTGCAAACCATGGCAAGCATGCCAACAAGATGCTTGGGGCACAGATGATGGTGAATCTAGTCCTGAATATAATAAAAAGCACCTCATAAGGTGTAGAATTTGTTAACTTTACTGACCACCAAAGGATGGTTTGCCATCAGTTGGCTTTTTTAAATTTACAACAGTCATGCCCAAGTTGTACATCACAGGATACATTATGCTACCCTCAGAAGCCAAATTCCATATTCTCTGCCCAAACATTTTGACAAGCTGCCCCAAATTAGAAGATGCTTCACATAAGCCCCAACAAGACCTTGTCAAGGCCTGCCATGGTTTGCTGATCAGAAAATTGCAAACCAATACCTTGAGCAGATCCCTAAAATATGGACTGGCAGCAGACAGTATTATCTTGTGAGCTCCAATCTTGCGACCTTCACAGCATATTGTGATGTCTACAAGTTCTTCGTCCTGCCGCAAGGTCTCAAACATTGACGTTATATTGCTATGGAATCCATCCCATTTGAGGCAGAACTTGCTGCTATCCTGCACGTCATTTGCAGGGGCCATAGTCCTTTTTCTACACGTTTAAATTGGTCGGCAACACAACCTCTGGCACATGTATCATCGACTGATGCAAGGGGTTGTCATGGATTTCTCATTGGCGGAACCCGGAGCTGCTCAGTGCAGGGTGATGACATCACTGGAGCTTTCCGATTCCGCCGCCGCTGTGCCGCCGGTTTGCCACTACATCGTAGTGCAAATATCACATTTGGTGCAGTTTAACTGCTTCAAAGCTTGGCTTAAGCGTTGAGCAGGGATGCAGCGTCTCTGCCGCGTGTTTCTTATGGCTTGGAAGTGAGGTATGCCTTGTCATCTGTGGCAGGACGAGCGAATGTAACCCGTGCCGGGCGTGGCTTCCCACTGCCTTTGATATGCGCTCCGTTAGAACCAGTTTGCACGATGTGAGTAAAGGGTCTTCCAGGAACGAAATAAAAAGAGAAAAGTCCCAGACAATGTAGAGGGCCCCTGAGCATGGAGTGGCTCAGTGCTTTACCTTATATTGGCCCCAACAACAGCACAAGGCCCTCTGAGCAAGTAGAAAGAACCCGAGACCAATATGAGGGGCCCCTGAGCAACTGAGGGTACCCCGCTATACAGAGCCTCAAGAAAAAAGTATAAAGCCTTTCGGGCAAAGGGGAAGAATACGTGGAGGGCCCCTATCGATCAAGAGGGCTCAGGCATGTTAGCAGATAGCGCCCCAACAGCGCCGTAGGGCCCTGCGACAAAATGTAGACATCAAAGGCAACGCGATTGGCTCCTTAGCGATCGGATTGACTCGGCAAGCAGGCATATAGGGCCTCGGCAATGGGGTAATGCCTCTAGACGGCGTAACGAGTCTGTCTGCTCGCGGGCTTCACGGGCTGGAGGCCCAAAGACGTGCAATTGTGTTGTGTTTTGCGTTTGAAAGCTGCGTCCGTTCGCCTGGTCGTGAGCTCTTTCAGAGCCAATGGTTCCCATCATGGCACAAGAGAGGAGCACGGTTCCGTGTCTCCCCTCCTCTGGAACCCCCATTGGTCCAAGCAGTGTGGTAGATGGGGCCACGACAAGAACTTAGGGTCATCCATTCAAATAAGAAATACTCAAGATACAGAAAGGAAAGCCCTGAAATGATCCAGTGTGCCCAAGCAGGCCAACAGATGAGTAAGCCCGACAAAAGCGTAGGACGCTCCATTCAACCAGGAAGTACTCAGGACCCAGTGTAGATGACACCCGAACGATCAAGTGTGCCAGAGCAGGTTTTCAGAAGGGGTCCTGACGAGAGCGTAGGGCCCCATATTCAAATCAGAAGTACCCAAGACCAGTGTGGAGGGCCCCCGAAAGATCGACGACGACAGCGAGGTCACCTTTATCGCTGTCATCATCGGCTCGGTCCCGTGCGTTCTCCGTGAGAGGCTGAAGGGCTGACATCTCGGTGACCTCGGATGACCCGTTCTGCCAAGAAAAATACCCCAATTGTCATTTGAAAATCGGCGGATTTCATTAGAAGAAGGTAATGTGTGTCCTCTTAAAATTTGCGCAATCTACGCCCGTTAGGCATAGCTGACTTGTGTTTAACCAACTATTACAGCATGGTCGTTTTTTCCGAGCGGTTTTGGCGTTCTTTCAGTATCGATGCCCTGGAAATGGTTCCAATTGTTTCTGACGGTGGCTGCTTGAGTTGAGCTCGAGACTGTTTGAGATCATGTTAACACGTTTTGAACTCTCGTGAAGCCACCCACTGCAAATATTGTTTGCAAATGCAGTGCGGCTAATGTGAGTTACACGCACGGCGGAACAATGATTTGAATGGAACAATATCGAAACATTTACTGAGACCCAGAAGGCACAGGAGTGAAAGGTGCCCTTGTTGGACGATCCAACGATCCATGTTGGAAACGATGAGGTCAGTCACGGTGAGTAGGGCAGTCTCCGTGGAATGGAGGGGACGGAAACCATGTTGGGATCATGACAGAAGATGATTATCGGACGTGTATGTGAACACCTGGCGCTGCACCGCGCGCTAGACAATATTAGCCATGATAGGAACGGTGGAAATAAGACGGCATTTGGATCGCCGGATTCGAAAATATAAATAAATAGGATGAACCGAGGTGTGTTTCCAGGAATCAGGAAAAAGCGCAGGAGGTGGGCAGGTGTTGATAACATGGAGAAGGATAGGGCCGATGACGTTAACCCGGAGGAGCAAGATACTAATACAAAAGCCAGTAGCATTCTGACACTCCGTCATCCCCGTGGAGGTCACGCTGCTCGGACGCACACCTGCAACCGACCCAGCGTGAACTCAGCACCACTGCAACACCGCCGGGGGGACACCCCGCTCGGACGCTCACCTGCGGTCGAGCCGAAGACCCCGGCAATACCGCAGGTAACGCCAACAAACATCTATAAGCAAACGATCCCGATGTAAAAACTGAATATAAACAAATGGGGATGTCAACAGGAGTACATTTACGGCTGAAGCCATAATAAGTCAGCACAAGATTTAGTGTGACAAATGAGATGTTGCAGGACGTGAATTTAACACGACGTCATTAATGTTGCAAGCCGTACGGCACATTTCAGCTTGACATAGTCATTTCACCCAGGGACCTCTTCACCGGCACCATGCAAGTGGGACCGTGGCTCTGTCACGCTGCCGGGCCGGGTGATTATCGCGCTGAACCTACGCTCAACACTTAATTTCCGCTGTCCCCTCATGCGGCCGTGGTTATTGTAAGTGGTGGTGTTCATTTTCATCAGTTTTGTTCGCTTTACTCTTTGCCTTAGCAAAAGTGTAATTCTTATGTGAATAAATCTTTGTGCGTTTTTGTTTCAACTGATTCTTTAAAGAATAATAAATAAGTAAGGAGACATTAATCTTATTCTTACTTATTTTTGTAAAAATATTATCAGATGTCTCCATGCCTCTATGACGTCTCTTTCATCTGGCGGACACCTCCGCCGAGTCGCTCAGGTGTTCAACAGGGCTGTAAGTGGCCCTGGAAAAACTTTAAAAATCTTCGAATCAGAAGGGTTTTAAAGACCGTTGTGACAATATGGATCGTAGAATGGACCGCAGTTAGGGCTATTGAGCCTCCGGCTTAAACGAGGCCCGGGTCCGTTTTAGGGCTATGGCCAGGGGCTATGAAGCGCCCCTGACCGGTAGTAGAGCCCGTGATTGACCAGACCCTCCCTTTGTCTCAATGTGGACCATTTCCATTGCCATTTTTCGTATTTTCACCCCACGTCAGGCAAGCAGACCTCGACCAATGCAAGTGGCTCTTTGACATTCAGGGTCCCGTCCTGTCCCTCCTCGGAAAAATGTGCCTCTGGTCGACCTGAAGCCCGTTGCCGACAAAGACCTCCCTGTTAAGCATTCTGTGCCTTGATACAGGGAGCCACCTCATTCCAGAGGCCCGGTCAACGCAGGAGGCCTTCAGCAGCAATCGCGGACACCGGCCTCGTTCCTGCTTCGTAAATGGCTCGCAAGGTCCATGCCGACTCAAAGCCAAATGGTCAGCATTGGTCGTCTCGGACTTACATAGACGCCTTTGTCGTCCCGGGGACCACCGACAGGCGCAACGAGTCCATTTGGCCGACATTTAAAAGCCGGGCCTTTGCCCCCAGCCAGCCATTCGGGCCTCCACGAAGGGCACGCAGGGGCTAGCGGGAGGATATATCCCCTGCGCTCCCTCTCCCCACACCTGCTGGCTGCGCCCCTGGATATTTAGGTATGTGCGAAACTCAATGCTAGTCAGCGGCTTGCGCTCAAAACGAAGCTTTTTAGTGAATAATGACAGTTGCGTCCCAAAACGCTCGCAAGTTGATGCCAGATCGGTCAGGGGCGGATCTAGCCTGGAGTTTTAGGGGGGTGGGACCAACCGTTCGTCGCCAGCTGGCTAGTGTGGGATCCGAGATCCAGTGCATGGTGCCTCTCTCGAGTACCTAGTAGGGACACCATTCAAGCACCGAAATACTTTTGAATCTTCTATGTACAGTATGCATGTTTACAAAGCTTGTAACATAATTACTTTTAAGTCAACAGAAATGCTTGATGCTGCACTTTCAAAGTTAAAGAGACGGTAAGTCGACGAGACTTTTATGAAGTTCTGGGAATGATTTTTGGGGGCCAAAACATGCTCTGAGTTGTTTTTTTTGGGGGGGCCACGGCCCCGTGCCCCCCCCCCCCGCCCCCCAGGATCCACCTATGAGATCGGTTTAAATTTAGGCCGTGGTTCGTTCTTGTTGGTGGGTTGAATACTTTGGTACAAGCATTGGTACTTCTGGTACAATTTTGATTTCCCTCTATGCCTGGTGATAAGTTTCACCTGCCCGGTGAAACCACCGCAGATATGGTTGACAATATTTTTCTGGACATGTCTTTCGGATGTTTGTTGGTTTAAGTACACATTATGGTTAGGAACTCCGTTACATTGGTGGTGAAAATGTTCGTGTTGGTGGAAATAATGGAATCGGTGGTGAGGTACACAATTTGGTAGCCGTTGAAAACGGTGCCCAAAAATACAACTTATGTACTTAAAGCGGCGCTATCCACGTTGTGGCTGCTGTGATTGGGACTGTCGTCCACGCTGTGGCAAGTTACGCTTGGAAGAGGTAGGGGGCTGGGCCTGGATGTTTTGGGGGTATGTATCTCCTTTGTTTTGTCACTCAGATAATCAGGTTATCAAAGGGTTTGGGGCTATGGGTAGGTAGTGAGTTCGCCTTATTCTGCTGTGGGTGAGGGTTGCCTTCAACTCTTGCAGAGGTAATGTTTGGAGTGTAAATCCTCGACATGGAGACGTAGCCCAGCCGGCAAAAATATACGTACTGCGCCTGGCGCGTACGTGACATTGTTAAGCTGAACTTTGTGCGTGGATGCGCCAAATTTAGGACTAGTCAAATCATACTGAAAACTTCACACTGTTTTTTCATGAAAAATGTTTTGTTTCAGACTTTAGATTTGGCACATGTGTGCACTAAAATTTTGTCTGGGCTCTGATGTTACTGTTATTGCAGATATGTTTGGCATAATATGTGTTTTTTAATCTGGGTGCTGCCAGAATTTTAGTGTGGGGGGGGGGGGGGCAGCTTAGCTTGATAAGTATGTGCAACACTGGCTTTTACTTCCTGTCACAAGTCATCTAAAGACTTTTGAAAAGGGTTTAAGGGAATTCAGTTTTTCACTCACCTGGAACATGTTCTCTCCAATAATAACCATGATATGCTTGCTGGTTTTGCCACCTAGCATTACTAGTTTGCTGATGGTATGTTATTGTTGATCAAGCTTTTATTGACTTGTCACTTCAAAAAAGGTCTGATTGAATGACTGAGGTAGTTTTAGTTTGGATCCATGGTATGCAACCACTTCATAAGTAATTTTCTAATGTTTTTATACTTCAGTGTTTATTGAACCATTGCAAACATTTTCCATAATTTTCTTTTGATCTGGCTTTGTGTGTGGCCTGCTTTTGGTTGTGACTTTGGTTTTCTTCCACATCTTGGCTCTGAACCTTGTAAAGGCAGTACATTATTTAGGCCTTTCCTCAGTTGTTATAGCAGCCTTCTGCAATACAGTCATTCCTGGCCATGTGACATTTTTTGAACCCTCCATCATTTCAACTTTTATATCACCATTTGGCATGGCTAAGCCTTCCGATGGCACCATTGGAGTTGGCCATGAATGAACACTACACTCATCATGGCTCCCAGGGTGTCCAGAAATTTTAGGGGTAGGAAAAACATGTTTGCATACCTTGACTGCATGGTGGGTAATTTGGCCATCCAGCCATGGCCCACATAAGCCATTTGGTGGCATCACCTTTTTTATTATTTATTTAAAATTTATTCCAAATGGTTTGTAAGGGTGATTTCAGATTCAGAGTACCTGCTAAGCATAGCTTGTTGCGTGTACCCCATTGCATCATGGCTCCCAGGGTGTCCAGAAATTTTAGGGGTAGGAAAAACATGTTTGCATACCTTGACTGCATGGTGGGTAATTTGGCCATCCAGCCATGGCCCACATAAGCCATTTGGTGGCATCACCTTTTTTATTATTTATTTAAAATTTATTCCAAATGGTTTGTAAGGGTGATTTCGGATCCAGAGTACCTGCTAAGCATAGCTTGTTGCAGTGTACCCCAAACCCACCACCCAACCGTGCCGTCCAGTTCAACAGCTAATTTTGCCTCTGCCCTTTCGCCAGACCCTTGTTGGCCAGTTGCCAGCTGGCCTTTCCGTTTCAGTGGGGTCAAACAATGTGCCCACTCTAGGACTCGTACCCAGTGCCGCTTACGAGTCCAGCATCTTTCCCCAAGACCACGGAGGTGGCTTTTATATGGAGCTCCTGTGAACAAAATATGTAGTATCCCTACACAAAGCATATCAGGGATGGTGAAGCAGAGAGGAGGGGCAGGGGGAGAGAAAAGTATGTATTTGCCTCCTCAAATGTCTGGGAGACCCCTTTTGCCTGTACTATAGGCTTTGCAGTCACCTGTAGATTACCAAAGCTCAGATTAAGGAGGCCTGCATAGCTTAGCTGTAGGAAAACAAATTAGGCTCAGAAGACCATTTTCTGCCTGACTGGCCAGTTCTTGGATCATGAGGCCACATCTATTATTTGAGTAGCTCATGATCTAGATCTGGAGGCCCAAATGTTATGCTGAGAAGGTCTCTTGTCTGGGTTGGGAGGCTCTTGGTACACATTATGAACTCCTGTTCACATTATGAACCACACATTTTGAGCCCCCCCCCCCCCCCCCCCTCTCCTTCTGAATATGGCACTGCCCAGCAGGTCTCCTGAAAATTCTCACCCTCAGAACTCAAAATATGAGGTACAACCCCTGAATCACATACATCATCAAAAGCAGACACAGCTGAGAATAGCAGCATCAGCCTTTGTACTTCCTTCAGTGATGCCAGAACAGATGAATGGCTCAGACTCCAAAGTCCTGATTTTCATGTCATCAACCAGACATGGCTTCTGCGTGTCCTGAGAAGATTGTCTCAGCATGTGTCACCTCCTTTCCCGCAGAGTCTGCTGTTGAGCCCCACAGCGGCAGGCAGCGCGCGCAGGCGAGGGAGCAGCGCCTGGGCTCGGGAGCAGCGATGCGTCTGTGCAGGTCCGCCTGGCGGCTGTGCTCGGCCGCCGGCCGCCTGCTGCCGGCGCGGCCGCTGCCGCCCCCGGCCCGCCGCCACCGCTCCGACAAGGAGCTCCACCTGCCGACGCCGGCCGGCCCGCTCGGCACCTGGGCCACGCTCAAGCCGCGACCTGAGGCGCACGTCGACCCAGGTCAGCCGGAATGGGAATGGTGCCTTGTTCTCACTCTGAGGGAAGGTTTCAGTCTGGGTTGTTTGTCAGAGATGTTCAGAAGTCTTTCAGTGACTACTTTGCTTTTGGTTTTTGTTTTTCTCTTGTTGGCCTTGATAAGTGCGTGCCAAGCAATTTTTGCAACAGAGAGGTGATTCTAGTGCAGTCTGTACATCTGGTTGACAAAACGCGCCGAATGAATCTTTGATCATTTCATTCAAATGTACTGCGATAAACATCTAGCATTTTTACGAACAAGTGTGTCATCGTCCTGATGGCCACTGACCGCCGTTTCTCACTGACAGAGTTGGGTGTAGGGCCCTTCACTGACGTGTCATTCACCAGAACTTCAGTGGTTCATCGGCAGCACGTCTCGCGCGCCACCGGTAGCTTGCGAAAGGGGTCGTGCATGCGCCCTCGTGCCCGGAGCGAGCGCGTGCTGACTGGCCGTGGTGGCGGTCCGCTTTGGCAGACGCCGCCGCGGACCCGGCCGAGACGGACCCGCTGCGGCACCCGGACCTGTTCGGCGTGCGCCAGCTGGTGTCCGTGCCGGAGCTGATGGAGGCGCGCGTCCACCTGGGGCACAAGGAAGGCTCGCTGAACCCGTACATGGCCGAGTTCCTGGTGGGCTCGCGACTCGGGGTGTGCGTGTTCGACCTGGAGCGGACGGCCGAGCTGCTGCGGGACGCGCTCAACTTCACGGCGCACATCGCCCACCGAGGCGGCATCATCATGTTCGTCTCCCGCGCGCCGCAGCACGTGCACTTGGTGAGTGCTGTCGCAGGGCACGGGCTGGTCTCGGCAGGTTGGCGGCGGCTCTTATGTTTGCTGGTAGTGACGTGCGAGTCTGGCCGCGAGAGCCTTGGGGTGAGAAGCTGAAAACCAAACAAGTGAATGTTGTCGAAAGTCATATCCCAATCGTGCGCCCTGGAGGCTATCTCGCCTGGCCGTTTCTAGTTTGTTCTAGTTGAATGTGTCGAGCTGGAAAAGTCACGGATCAGACAAATTTCAGCTATAGGCAGGTAGGCTGCTGGCGGCTCTGATGCTAGTGTCTGCGCCGTGTTGATCCAGTGGCAGGTGGTTCTTTCCAAATAGCACAGGTTCTTCCGGCGATGCAAGCATCCGTGAAATCAAACAATGACGTATCGAGGAGCATATTTACTAAGCGGAGAAATTGTGTTGTCTAGAGAAGTGGTTTCCACTAGAAATATACCAGCGGTCATCAGTAACCTTTCATCATATATGATGCTTGCCTCAATATATTAAAGTGTGAAACATTCCCTTTAATAGAACGTGCTCGTGTTCGGGCTTATTGCTCGCGCTGTCTTGCGTCGGTTCCCGCCTGGCTGTTCAGCGTCGTAGCCTGTGCCCATGACCAACTTCCAATAGCCCGATTGGCGGCCCTCAGGTGGAGCAGACAGCGATGGCGTGCGGCGAGTTCTCGCACTGCCGCCACTGGCCGCCGGGCTTGTTCACGGACGCCACGGCCCGGTTTGGGGGCGTGACCCGCCTGCCCGACCTGATCGTGCTGCTCAACACGCTAGACACGGTGCTCGAGCAGCACGTGGCCGTCCAGCACGCGGCCAAGATGCTCATTCCCACTGTGGGCGTGGTCGACTCGAACTGCGACCCGCGGCTAGTCACCTACCCGGTGCCGGGCAACGACGACAGTGGCGCCGCCGTGCGGCTCTACTGCAGACTGTTCGCCGAGGCGGTCCGCCGCGGCAAGAGCCAGCGCACGCAGGCGGAGGCGGCGTGAGGAGCGCCGCCGCCGCCGCTGGCCGACGGCGGCCGCCTCAGCTGTGGGCGGTGCGACTGCGCTGATTGTCTCGTGCAGGTGCGGTCTGACGGGCGCTAGGAAACGGTGCGTGCGGCGGGCTTGTGCGGCGGTTCGGTGCGTGGGAGATCCGATGTCATGGCCCGGACGTGTATGTGTGTGTAGACTGGTTACACCGCGCTGTAGTGTAAACGAAGCTCGGACTGTACTGATGTGCCTACGGCAGTATGAGTTACGTGGGAGGTAAAAGATGGCCATGCTGTGCTTTGTCAATGGAAGGAAGTGTGCTTCCTCCAGTTGTCATTTTAGACCGTGCGCGCGTCTGACTGCCGTAGTCGGACGCCGATGCCAGAGGTAGCATACACAAGATGACATTCAGGTATATGCGTGCGAGTAAATGTGAATAGCCTTAGACCGGCCTGTCAAAGAAGACCTGAAGCGCAGCTTAGACACTCTCGATTCGGCCGCTCGCCGAGCACAGATTGTTGGACCAGAACACTCAGACCGTCAGACAGACCGTTGCTGTATTTCGTGCGAACCCTTTGTGCCGTCCTGGGTTGCGGGCTTGTGAGTTCGCCTTTGACTTCAATTACGGCAACGCGGGGCAAGTCAGGGTTCGAATCAGCACGGCAATGACATTAGTCTGGATAAACTCGATTGATATCTAATGTAACCCAGCATTCTTCCTCATATATGCAAGACGTTTTTAATTATGTTTCGGTTCGAAACCATATGAAGAATGTAAGTGAGCCGACGGGCGGAGGAATTCACCCCAACTAGTAACGATGTTACCGGTCGCACCACCGGGCGCTGGTATCAATTATGCGGATTACCTGGTTACACCGAAATCTGCTTCAAACCTCCGCACCAGTAGCGCAGGCAAGGGGGGGCACATCCCCCTCCCCCCCCCATGTTCCGAGGGACTCGGACCGTTCGGGGCCTACGGTTACGGGTCCGATTTGAGGGCACCAAAGGACCGGTCGGAGGTCGCATTGAGGAGCCCAGGCCCGTAGGATCGGGCCCTCCAATGGCAGCTACAGGGACTGCGGGCTGGTCAGTGGCCACTGAGTCGATAAGGGCTTATATGTTGATCATCCACCACCAGTTACGCATTGTCTGCTCCGTAGCGGTACGAGTCTGAGGGCCCATTTCCCAAGCAGGGACAAAGCCAGAGCCGGGTATTTACGTTGGTCCGAGCTCCAGCGTCTGTTGGAGCCCTTCGGCACCCAGCGAGGGTTCCGTTTTGGCAAGGGGGCCAATTCTGCCAGATGCAGTGTTGGGGAAGTCCCGAAGAGCCTGGAGGACCACCGTGTTCCACGATCAATAACCCGATGGGATGATCTAAGGGCACGAGGGGCTGGTCGTAGTCTTATTCAGGAGGCCCGGCCTGTGGGTACGGGCCCCCAAATGGCAGTCAGATGGCCCTTTGCGCTGATTAGGGACCCCTGGGTCGATATGGGCCCACATGTCGGTCAGGCACCACCAGGGCCACAGTCGGCTCTGTGCCGGTATGGGCCTGAGTGTCCACTTCCCACTCAGCTACGAACTCGGGGCCAGTGGATTACACTGGTCGGGATCCCTGTATCTGTCAGGGGTCCACAGTGTCCAGCAGAGGGCCCTGTGCTCGCAAGGGGCCCCGAGGTGACCAAGGGCAGTGTTCGATGAAACCCAAGGAGGGGCGCAGGCGGCTCAACGGAATCGACTGTTAAGGCCATGGTTGGAGGGCATAAGGGCCCGAATGACTGGCTGTAAGTCACATAAAGAATCGCGGCTCGTAGGGTCGTGACCTGAAATATTAGTCAGAGCTTCTCTTGCGTCGTCTGAGACGCAAACACACACCCTGACACCCTAAAACGCCGTGGGTGTCTGAGCCGGCGGGAGACCACGTACACCAAATAGTCAGCTCCCTGTGAATCTGAACCCTGGGGGCCCATTTCTCCAGGAAATGCAAGGCCGGTGACCACGATTTGCATTGGTCTGGGTTTCTAAAACAATGGATGAGGCCCTGTGTTGGTCAGGGGTTCACAGTTCCAAACAGGGGATCATGTGTAGGCTAGTGGCCCCAGTCGATCATGGGCTATGGGGAGGTCCAAAGAGGGACCGAAGGGCCCCCAGGGACCAAAGATTAAGGCCCTAATTGGACTCGGGTCTGGCCCACCACCATTGCGGTAGCCTGAAATGTCAGAGAGCTTCTTTTTGGGTCATTTTATTAGGCCTATCTATCCTTTTCATATAGGGCCTGGACACGGAGCCAGGCAATCGGCCCCATGTCCGTCTGGGCCCTTGAGGCCTACTTCAGAAACAGGAACAAGGCCGGGACATGCGATTTTTAGTGCTCGGAGTCCCTGACACGATGGGGCGGGGGCCTGTGTCGACAGGCTTACAGTACCTAACAGGGGTCCTGTGGCGGTGAGTGGCCCCGAGTCGGACAGGAGCAGTGTTCGAGTGGTTCCGAAGATGGATCGAGGCTTCTCTCGAGACCAAATATCAAGCGCCCGATTGTAAGGTTGGGGGGCTCGAAGGACTGGCTGTGGGTCACATTGAAGACCACCGCCCCTTTGAGAAGTCGTGATCTCAAATGTCAGTTAGAGGCACTCCTGCACCGATTGGGGACCCTTGCACAGAGCTTTCCTCTATTTTGGCAAGAGATCAACACCGAACAGCCTGCTCCGTGTCGGTCAGAGTCCTCGGGGTTCATTTCCCAAACAGTGACTAGGCCTGGTCGGCGACTTACGTGGTCTGGGCCCCGCAACAATGCGGGGCTCCTGTATCGTTCAGGGGCTGACAGTGCCTAACGTGGTTTATCTGTGTCAACAAGAGGTCTGGAGTCGGTCAGGCGAAGATCCACCCAACAGGCACGAGGACGGGGCCCAGGATGCTTTGAGGGCCTCTTGCGTTGGTTGGGGTCCTCAGACAATGAACGGAGGCATGACAACTTGTGATGAGTCCTTAGTTGAAGGCAACGAAAGGGTTTTTGCCAAAGAGGTCTCCCACTACCGAACGGTGGGCCCTCCAACCTATTCTCAGCATGGCCCGTTAGGCCGAACTGGAATCTATGTGTCGATTAGTAGATCGCCTGCAGTAATAAGGCATGTTGTTGCGCCAATGAGGGTTGCTGTGTCGACCCGGGGTCAACCGCGCGGATCAGAAGGCCTCCCACGTAAGCGAGGGGACCAATGTGATATGATGTATCCCTCTGAGGGCCTCCGGATCGGCCAGGGAGTCCCGCCCCGTGTCGGCAGAATGGCCGCCTGAAGGCACCCCGCGGTGGAAGAGAATGGCTCTGCGGCCCTTGACCGGGAACAGTTATGCGTCTCCTAGTGGGCTCCTCAATGGGCTCCTTTCCCGAGAAGCAATAGGGGATATCAATGGTGTTAAATGAAGTGGGTCAAAATGAGTTAAAAGGCGAATAAGATCATCCGATATTTGCCTGGGAACGTTTATTTTTTTCAAGATTCAACCCGTGAAACAAATTACATCAAACTGGTTAAGCCTGCGCGCCCGCAATTTTGGGGGTGGAGACAGCGACGGCCTGGGTTGCAGTTCCTGCAACACCGAACAGCGTTGACCACTGTAAGTTATACAAGAAGGCGGACGCCGTGTTCGCGAGGAATGACCGTCATGAAACAATGGCTTCAAACTTGTTTTAAAATGAATTTGTACTGCCCAAAGAGGGAACTGGGCGTACCTTTTCTACAACTTCGAGGTTATGCTCTGGACAGATCAACAGCTGCAGTAACAAGCGACGGCACGACCTTACCTTTACTCTGCTAGTTACACCACCAGTTTTTGTTTTGCATGATTTCGGGGCGCTGTAACGGCCAATCCGTTCTAATCATCTATAAAAAACGCGTTACTGAAATATATGCCCCGACTGCTTTCTAAATGTGCGATTTGATGTCATAAAGCGTTCAAAGGTACCTTTTTCAAATGCGTCCTCATTTAGGTCCACGCGTTGGCCACGTTGTTCCTGTTGTTCATCGATCTGTTGTCATTTGTATCGACCTGAGATAACTGCTGGTTTGATGAAGTCAGGGTCTTCTCAACAAGCTTCGCTCAGCGAGGACTTCAACCCCAGCACTATCGTGAAAAAACACCCGAACAAATTGCTAAAAAAGGAGCATTTCATCCGAACTGCAGTCGCCACGCTGAGCATGCCAGGGCAAGCCATCATGCGTCCAGACCTAAGGCAGGTCAATTGGCGTGGTCGCCACGAGCGGCCGTGCGGCCCGAACCTCGGAAACTTCAGGACAGGACGGAACTATTTTTGGGTTACGACCCCGTTAAAGGGCAAAAGAGGGGCATGCCCTTAAGCATATCGGACATGGTGACGTCCATAGTCAGATCACGGGTGAATAGGCGGCTGCCCCGACTTCGCCGGCGAATACGGCTCAGCCCCGCCCACTGCCGTCCGGTCTCTGTTGATGAGGCGGACGCTGGTCGATGGAGACCAGCTGCAGGTTCAGCCGGTGGCAGCGGCGTATACCCTCACACCAGGTGAACTCAACGTTTGGTCCCAGGCGTGGGCCACGCCATGAGAAATAGGGCCGCACCGCCGCGGCAGTTTGAAGATCTCCGTACTGTCCGGCCGGAGCACCGCTAGGCAGAACGCCGCCAGCACCAGCGCACGACCAGCCGCATCTGCGGACAGCGGTCAGCGGTCGCATCAGCAATCCGAGCAGCCGCATCTGCGGACAGCGGTCGGCCGCCGCATCAGCGCACCATCAGCCGCATCTGCGGACAGCGATCAGCGGCCGCATCAGCCGTCCGAGCAGCCGCATCTGCGGACAGCGGTCAGCGGCCGCATCAGCGCACGACCAGCCGCATCTGCGGACAGCGGTCAGCGGTCGCATCAGCCCACCACCAGCCGCATCTGCGGACAGCGGTCAGCGGCCGCGTCAGCAGTCCGAGCAAGCGCATCTGCGGACAGCGGCCGCATCAGCACACGACCGGGGCAACGTCTCGAGAGTTATGGTTGTTGTTTGGCCAGCGAATTTGTACCGTTAGTTTTAAAAATTACATTCCTAGTAAAAATGTGTTGGAAGCTATCAACTCGGAAGTCTTACCTGTGCGCGAAATAGCAAATAATATATGACAACACTCGTGCTTATCAACAAATGCCGCTGCATGCGCGCGGCCCGCGTCGTGTCGTCTTTCAAGCTCGCTCGAATTTGTCGCATTGGCGGCATAAAAGGTCGCAACGATGCTGGGCACGGTGGGCAAATTTCGTTTGGTCATTCTTTAAGTACAATGAAGTGTGGGTTTATGGTTCCGTCCTCACTGGTCCCATTTGTGACTAGGTTATGACTTTGAGCTTGAATCATGAATCGTGTCAGAGGCATAGGGATGTCTCTGAAAGTGTGCAGTGGGACAGGACCGTGCCTTAAGGCTGGCTCACCTTTGTGCCTTACCCCTCACACTGAAAGGGGGTGGGCGCGATGCGGCCTCCTTTCGTGGTTGACATGCGTATTTATTGTACGTACCAATCCTGTTTGTATACGGTAGGTGCTGGGATCGCAGGTAAAAAAAACTGTCTTCTTTGGTAGTTATGCGGCATACTTTTGCCTGCTGTGGAATTATTTACCTACCGGAATAAAAACACGTCCGGCGAAGCTCTGACCGGCTCTGGTTGGCGCGTGCCAGGTCCTCGACAGACCCACGGCCCACTGGCGGCATGGCCACGGTGTGATCCTCCCAGCTAGCTGGCTCA